CGTCTCCGCTTCAGTGATACTTTTCGAGAAGAGAACAATGTCGTCCGCAAAACGGAGGTTCGAGAGGAATCTCTCATAACTCGTATGCCTCTCTCGTTTCCAATCCAGTAACTTCATCACCCACTGCAACGCGGCGGTAAACAGCTTTGGCGACACATTGTCGCCTTGTCGAACCCCCTTCGAGATTGGTGTGTTAAGGGGACGATGGAAAAGCTGTGCCGTTGTAGAACAATTCCTGTAGCAGTCGGCCAATGTCCTCACTAAGATGGGTCCATCTTCTAGTTGACGAGCGCTGACAGTATTGTAATAGTCTCGACGCTGTCAAACGCTTTCTCATAGTCAACGGAGGTTAAGACGAGGTAGGCGGTACTCTCGGCAAACCTAGATAATCCTCGAAACTGTCTGGATGTGATCCACGCAGTTGAATCCCTGGCGAAATTCAGCTTTATCTACAGGTTGGGCTTCATCCAGTGTCCTTAATATGCGAGTGAGAATACTTCATAAAGAGCTTAGCACGCTCAGCAGGCATATTGGACGGTAGTTTGGAGATCCTCCCTGTAGCCCTTCTTATCAACGAGTATTGTTTGGGAAGTTCTCCACTGCTTAGTATCTTTTCCTTTTGAAGGTAAGACGTTAGGCGTGCCGCAAGTGTCTTGTGTAGGCGATATCCTCCAGCTCGTAAGAAATCCGCCGAAACATGGTCCAGTCCCGGAGCCATGTTCATGTTCTGGATTGCGGCGCGTGCTACAGCAGGTAGAATCCGTAGTGGTATTTTTCTAGTGGGGAAAACGGTGTTGATGAGTGGAAGTTGATGTAGAATATCTTCTATCGATTCGGTTTTCTGTCGAGAAAATGTTCGAGTCCCCAATATTTTTCAGTGTTGTCAGCGGAATGCGGATTTGTTCTATATTCTGCAAATAAGAGGAAATGTCAGTATGAAGAGAGAGATTCACCTTACTCTGTTTGCATTTCATATAATATATTGGGTCACTGGAGAAAGGAAGGAAAGGGGAGAGGAGGAGAGGAGCTTGGGTAGCGCGGCAGCTTTCTTTTCTTGGTGTTGATTGTGTCAGAACTGGATATATAATATACACGGTAGTAACCTGGTTTTTCAAAGGAACATGACTTTTCTGAGAGATTTCTAATTTTGTTCGTGTTTTGGAATTGTTGTGGTACCAATCTTGTGACAAGTACTTTTGGGTGCATTTGGTACATTTGAACAATGAACGTAATAAATGAAGCGTCTGCATCTTTGCGTCGCGCTACACTTGAAGGTGAGATATTATGGGACATTTTGATATATGCCTGAGATAAGAAAGCTTCAAAGTCTAAAATATTTGGCATCTTGAAATCTGTGTGGATCATACTTTCGCACATTGACCTATTTG